AAGTTATAGTCATCATACTATAGTTGAGCAGCTTCTGATATCACTGTAGTTAGAGGAAAAACTACAGGTTAACAATAGTTACATTTGCTTGTAATTATATAAAATTTTAAAACCAATATATATAACACTAATAAAATTTAATCTTTATATAAGCACAAACTCTTTATAAACACCAAATTCTTAAAACCAAGAGTGTAATTATAGAGAAGTTTGACTGTATATAAAATTAAATAAAAAAAATTTATCAAATTTAATAAAATAGTTGTTAATATATTTAAGCTTAAAGTCAAGAAAACTTTACTTAGAAAAATTTAATTATTTTTTATTGACTTTTTTTTATATGTATAGAAAATTGAAAAATATAATCTAAACTATATAAAAAAAATATTAACAAGTTTTATAATAATAAAATAATCAAATATTATAATATTATCTTTAAAAATTATATAATCTAAATTTTTATTAGTTTGTTCAAAAAGAAACTATTATAAATATTATAAAGCTATTAATTTTAATAATTTAATATTTTTTTAATTGTGCATATATTTTGGTTTGGATTTTTTCTATTTTTAAATATTTAAAAAAACATATTAACTGTTAATAATTTTTTTCTTTACTGCAGAACAAAAAATGAATCTAGTTTAAATTTATAAATTAAAATATAAGAATAATAATTTTAGTATAATAAATTTGTTGTTATTCTTTAAGTAATAAGTTTAGTATTCAAATCTTATTTATAACTAAATTTGAAAATTATACTTGTATTATAACAAATTGTCTTTTGATAATCAGTTGAATTAGTATATTTGTAATCTTTAGTTGTATTATTCTAAATAAAAGCTTAAGGCATTTATACAAAGTATAACATTACATATATATAAAGAAATATTATAATCAATATTGTATAAGACTTTAGTGCAAATTTATGATAAAACTACCAAACACAAAAAGTAAAGAAACTGAAGAGTTAAAAACTTATTTTAAAATTTCTGAGTAAAAATATAACATAAACTTTCAATAATATATTAGACTAATAAAAGATTATAAAACACTTTTAAAAAAACAGACAGATAAACTAGATAAAAAGATGTATAAAGAAGCACATAACTAACCAGACTGCCAGATTTATTAGAAGAAAAGAATACTAAAATATACTATATCAAACTATCTAAATTAAAAGTTTAAGTTTTATTAGTTCTGAGTAATAAATTTTATAAAGATAAAAATAGTATAATATAATAATTAAACAGATAACTCTTGTAATTATAAGTATTAAAAAACTATATTATGTTGCATAAAACTAAGTTAGCTATATATAGAACATAAAAAGTTTTAATAAGATTTTTTTAAGAATAAAGTAGTTCTAAGAGCTTTAAAAATATCAATTATTTTGAATAAATATGTCTTGAAGATGTTATTATAATACAAATTGAAATTATATATACAAAGAATTTAAATAAGTAAGACTTATAATTGGCTTGCAGATATAATATCTAGTATAGAATCTGTATAGTAATATATAGCCAAATTATTTAAATTAAATATTAAAAATATATATATGATTTGTTATAACTTTATGTATAAATACCTCTAAAAACATTTATAACTAAAAAAACTTAAATAAAAATATCAACTTCTAAAAACAAAAACAAAAACTTAAAAAACAAAATTAAAACATATATATATAAGATGATGTTAAATAATTGATATAAACCTTCTTTTGTAATAATATCTTGGTTATTAGAATTAACAATATCAGATTAAAGAAAATACAACTTCTACTCTTTAGCATCTAAAGTAAGTTATATAAAATTAGTATCTAAATTTTTAATAGTATAGCATAATTGATCAAATTTATCTTACAAAATTCTAATTTTTTTGGCTTGATTAGTTAGTAAAATTGCCAACAAATCAAAATTTTGTAATACTTTAAGTTTGTTTAAGAAGTGAAGTATATTGACATTTAGTTGTATTTAAATTTTTTCAAAATTAAAATTTAATTTTATATCTTATAAATTATTTTATATATTATTATTAAATTTATTATACTATATTAATTCAAAAATCATCAAAGACTATAATCTGTTAATTATTTTAAATATAAAATGAATTCATTTGAAATCTAGTGATTTAATAAAATTATTCAAATCATAATACTTGAATATGACCAGAATATTCTAAATAATTAAATGCAATTATATATATATTTTTTTAATTGTCTATAATTATTTTTTTAAATTGATTAATTATGAATAAAAATTAGTAAGATTTGTTATATTGATACTTAAACATAATGCCAAAATTTTTTAATTAGAAAAAAAAATTTATTCAGCTATTTAACTTTATTTTTATTAACAAATAATGTTTTTTGTAATTTATTTAATTTATCAATAAATAATTATATTATGCTTTTTAATAATTCATAATTCTTAATATCTGAATATATAATATAATATAATGATTATTTGATAAATATAATTTTTTGTAATCTAAAATAGTAAGAGTTATTATTATATGCTTAATTGATGATGCGAGTCACCTGAAGAAAGATCTTAGTATAATATAACATAGATTATTATATATTTTACTATAAACTGAAATGCAATGTATGGTTAACTAAAACTTTTTTTTGATACTAAGTTAATAGTCCAAATCAATTAATTAAAAGTTGTAGAGCTCACTAAGGCGCATATAATGACAGTTAGATTATCCAAATCGGTTTAGAAGATGCTGAGATATTGTCAAAAAACAATTGGCTAACTAAGTAAAATTTTATAAAATTTTACATAGTTAACTAATCGTTTTTTGACAATATCTCAGCATCTTCTAAACCGATTTGGATAATCTAACCATCATTATATGCACCTCAGTGAGATCTACAACTTTTAATTAATTGATTTGAACTATTAACTTAGTACCAAAAAAGTTTTAGTTAACTATACATTGCATTTCAGTTTATAGTAAAATATACAATAATCTATGTTATATTATACTAAGATCTTTCTTCAGGTGACTGATGGATTATCAATTAACTTTTTTTTCAATATTATGACCATTAACAGAAATCTGCAAATTAATAACAGATTTTGAAGGATGAAGAGTTTTAGTAATTGCTAAATAAAAATATAAATATAAAAATATATTTTTAACATTTCATTATGTAACTTTTTCAACTAACTGAAATTTTGCACTTAATAGATATTTTAATTAAAATTGAATCTTTTGATAGATATATAGTTTGTTATTTTTATTGTTAAAGTTAAATATTAATTAAAAACTAAATAATTACAAAATAAATAAATTAAATAGCTAATAAAGTTTGATATTTAGTAAAAATACTTATTTTATTAAAATGGTTTAAAAATCTAATATAATTTAATTGTAATCAATTTTTTTAAATTGTTTAAAATAAAAAACAAAAAGCAAAAAACCTAATATTTAACTATTTTTCATTTTTTTTTTAATTTATTTACAAATTAATAATGACAATTATTATTAATTACATAAAAACTATTTTCTTTTTATAAAATTCAATTAAAAAAATTTACAATTTTTATAAAATTTAAAAATATTTTAAATAACTTCAATTTACAATTTTCTATATACTTAATCCTAAAATATGAAATTAAATTAATATGTAAATTGAAAATAATATAAAGCTTAAAGTTTATAGTAAATTTATATATTTTTATTATAGATTTTATTATAAAATAATACTTATATATCAACAGATGTGACATATTCCCTAACTGATATGTCTAACCATCATCCAATCATAATCCAGAATTTGCACACTTGCCATTCTAGTCGTCTTTTAACCATACATTTCGTATTTTACATCATTATATTCCTGGTATAGCAATTAGAGATAATCGGAGTCGACAAAACTAATTCCAATCTCTAATAACAATAATATCAAAAAAGTAATCCTAACCTTAACTCGGCTTTAAGAATCCCCCATATTTGGGGAATCGTCAGACTGTGTAGCGTTCACCTAACTCCCCTTCTTGAAATGTCACAACAGAACAGTATCCATCATGTGATGCCAACATGAGCGAATTGCCATCTGATGACCTAATAATATAAATTATTAATATAGTATGTTGACAATCAGAAAAGAAACCGATACTTAAAAAAATAAAGTCACTTTACCAGGACATATCGGAAAATGTTGCAAAATGTAAATTTGTCGCTATGACCAAAGGAGCATGTTGCTCCGTATCATATATAAACACAGAGTCTTGAGTCGCCACAGCATAAATTATGCGGTATGGTAAGTCAAATAAGGATGGTAAATGAACATTAAACGATTTATCACTATAAGAATTTTCAGCAATAAAGTATTCTGATCTCATTTGCAATGCCGTGGCATCAATTTGTGGTTGAAAGTTTTTTCGGGGAAACCGTAATTTATAAAATATATGATTGCATTTTACAACAACAAACGGTTTCTTATGTCCCGGTAGAAAGGCGATCGGTCTAACGTAATAAAGTAATTTATAAATTCAACCATAATATATACTGAATAAAAACAAATTGTAAATTATAAACTTACTTGTTTAGTTTATTTCGAGCAAATAAGTAAACAGTATTTAGAATTGTTGTGTCAACTTTATAATTATTTTCATCTTTGTCATTTTTATTGTTTATCATGCCAATCATAGAATTACAATACTGTCCGGCCGGCGTAAGTAATAGTCCACCATCTGGTGTAAAATCCAATCGCCTAAAGAAGGTATTTATCATTTCGTCACAATATAGCCGAAAATGCCTTTTAAGCTGCTTTGACGTAGATTGTATTGTTGGCACTTGTGAAGGAACAGTTGTTATGCTTCCAGGAGACTCTATAGCGTTTAATATGGGATTAACATCATTCGAAATATCATTTATTGCGATCTTGAATTCGGAATTTGCAAGCATTGCAGCATGGTTATCACTATCGCCTTTATGATCGTTCAGGTCATCACATGTTTTGGTAGTGTCTTTTACAGAATTTGGGTCTTTCTTGCTTATAATTTCAACCTTAAAGTTTTTGCTAACATGAGTCGTTTCAAAAACACCATTTGAATGAATATTATACGAGTATATATGAACAGTTCTAAGCAAAAATTGTAATCAAATGAACCGTTATAAAAGCACATTTATGAAAGTTTATATGAAAGAAATAAATTAATACCGGTCATTGCTTTGAGTAGCAATATATTGGCCAAGCGGATCCCATGCAACACCTTGAACATTACGAACATGGTCCATCAAAACACATACGCATTTTGCTAGATCATATCCCATGATTAGATTTATAAAGTGTAGATTTTATTGGAAAAATTCACAAAGTTTACCTTCTTTCACACGCCATATTCTAGAACCACCATCCATGCATGCTGCAACGATATATTCACCATCTGGAGACCACGCAATGTCTATGATTTCACAGGGGGAACCCCTGAAATCGGAAACGCACATATCATTATCGTTATACTTAATTACTAAATATGAGAACTAATTTGAACTAATGCATTATACCATAATAATGAAATGACCTTCCAAGTTTCACTATCCTCTGATGTGTCATCATCAGAATCATCCCCAAAAATTTTCCTTGATTCCTTATTTTCCATAAGTTTCCACAAGCAAATAATTCCATCTGTATCGTTCAATAAATGAATTATTGCTCCTTATTTTATTTTTAGTTTAGATAATTCCAAAGAAATATCCATTTGAAACGCAAACACATACCGTCACCAGCGGATGCCAAAAGCTCACCTTAAACATTCGGATAAGCATAAAATAAGATTCCAAATTTTAATTAGGAATTACGCGTTAAAAATTGACAACTATCGTTTCCTGGTGATTGAATAATACCTTTAGGAGAGAATCTAGTCACATTAACGGGTGCTGTATGGTGTTTTAAAGTTGATAAAAATATAACCTGAGGCAATTCCGTTTGGGTTTTAACAAGTTTCCACATCTATTATCAGTGTAATATATGTATTTGGTTAATAAAAACACGTCGGTGTTTTTTTAATGTTACTTACCATGACTCTATAGTCCATACCAGCAGTTGCAAACCTGCCGGTCCCCCCTGGCTGAAAGTGGACCGAAAAGATGGGTAAAGAATCTTTATGCCAGTGAATTTGAAATGTTTTAACTTTCATCCTTTCTTTATTAAACGCGTCAAAGCTATTTTCTAAGTTTCTATGTAGTGAATTTCATTTTCGGAAAGTCTACGGTGGGACAAGCATAGCGAACTTTCGTTGTGATTGGCTAATTTTTGTAGATCATCCCGTGATATCATTACCATTAAGGGCAGTGTTGTCACGTCTATTATGTCCAAGATTTTTTTTGACCATGTCCAACGTCCAAACGTCCAAGAATGTCCACAGCATATACAAGCTTTAAAAATTAATATATTA